TCTACACGTGAAAAAAAATAGAGCAAGGCATTTCACAAAGGAAGAACTGTGAGTAAAAATGGTTACATGAACAGTTTGAAGCCAAGAGAATAGTGACCCCCCAAAATTGAAAAGGTGATCTGACGGGAACACACATACCAAGGTAAAAGCCACAAAACAAGCCAGACAACGTGGCACACGTCTGCAGTCCCTGCTGCTGGGGTGGGAGGCTCAGCTGAGCTCAGGAGTTTAAGATCAGCTTGGCAGCACAGCAAGACTGCCCCAAGCTAAAAGCGCAAAGTTAGAAGGCACTAGCACCACCTACCTTTCAACATGTCAATGTCATCACGCTCTATTTCAGCCATCCACTTGGGTGGAGAACTAGTAATGGGCTGCCAGAAAAAAAGAACATAGCTATTAGATACACGCAGCTGCAGAAAGACATGTACAAAAGCTCTGGCTTCAATGTACAGTACTGCCAAAAAGAAAAGGAAAAAAAAAGCAGCATGTCACACAGCCTTTAGGTTGTCTGAAAATACAGCCAAATTATAACTATAAGGATAAGCCCAGATTCCTCCAGGTTCAGCTATGACATGCAGTCACCTGAAGAGATGCCACTACTGTTACTACATCACGTATAACAACATAGAAATGAAACTACTATGAAACACTATTCTGGACAGATGCCTTCAGCTGAACTGTTTGATACGATAATCAGCAACATTCTCCGGAAGAAAGAAGAGTCAAGAAGGAGAAAACCAGAGGAAATAAAAGAATCAAGACGTGACAGGTGTGTGTACCACTCACTCCTGATGAGAGAATTTGTTAGGTACTGCCAGCATATACTAATAAAAAAAAAGAAAAGTTTTTTTAAAAATTCTCTTTTTGAAACAAGATCTCACTATGCAGTCCAGGCTGGCCTTGAGCTCACTTTGGACACCAGGCTCATCTCGAACTTGTAAAGATCATCTTGCCTCAGCCTCCCAAGTGCTAGGATTATAGGTATGTACCACTACCCCTGGTAGAAAAGTAAATATTAAAAAATAAATTCACTTTAACTCCTCATGGGGGGAGGGAGAGAAAGAGAGCGAGCGAGAGAGAGACAGAGACAGAAAGACAGACAGACTGACCGACCGACCGACAGACCAACCTTAACTTAGTGACAGAAGACTGAAATGGTCATATGATTATCACCTGAACTTTCATAATTTTATTGTGAAAGTTTTAGAAAACTAGAATTGAATAGCTCCAAGTTGGCAGTTTTCAACCCTAGTTGCAAAGGGAATCACT